TTCATTTGATGGTTTAATGGCCTTCCCTTTATTTGCATTGTTTCTTTCATGCCACCAAAGCCAAAGTAATAAACATGTTTTTAACTTGATCTCCTCCCTCAAATTAATAATTTCTTCGATGAAGTTTAAAGCATTAACACAGGGGATTAGCTGCAGCCTAACATGCTCGAGTTGAGCCATTCTCCATATTTCTCTTACTTTCTTGCATTTGATGAAACAGTGCCCCCCATCCTCATCCAATCTATAACAAATAGGGCAACGAGTGTCAACTTCCATACCTCTGTTTTGTAGCTTTGTTCGCAACGGTAAGCTATTGGTTGCTAGCCTCCATAAAAAATGGAGCACTTTGTTTGGGAGGGGCATTGTCCATAGTTTAAGCCAGTCAAATCCACCATCTTCTTCAGCTGCACTTGAGGTAGATGTTAGACCTGAGAGAGATTCTCGAGCTGCACAATCTATTGCTACTTTGTATGCAGATTTTACTGAAAATATACCTTTTTTATCATAGTGCCATGTCGTGAAGTCCTCGAGATGATCTTGGATTGGGATCTGAAGGATACACTTTGTATCTTCCGGGGTAAAAGTTTGCCTCACTAGTTCTTCGTCCCATTTGTTGGTGATTGGGTTAATTAGCTCACTGACTTTAGTTATCAAATTATTGCCCCTATGGGAGACGACCCTTCTGGTGTTACCTCTCGGAATCCATGGGTCACTCCATATGTCAATATCCTTGCCATTCCCAACTCTCCATATGATTCCTTTTCTCAGCAGCTCAACACCCTTTAGTATGCTGCGCCATGCATAAGAAATGCCACTACTTGGTCTCGCCCGCAGAATTGAACATCCTGGGTAGTATCTACTTGAAAGAACCTGGGCACAAAGAGAGGAGGGGTTTTGGAGCAGCCTCCATGCTTGTCTTGCCAGCATTGCCAGATTGAACGCACGTAGATCCCTAAATCCCAAGCCTCCATTTCTTTTTGATCTAGTAAGCCTCTCCCAGCTGACCCAATGCACTTTATTTTCCTTATCCATTTGGCTCCACCAATACCTATTAATCATGGTGCTCAGTTCTTCACATAGGCCCTTGGTGAGATCAAAGCACGCCATGCTGTAGACAGGAATAGCTTGTGCCACGGCTTTTATTAGAATTTCTTTCCCTGCCTTCGAAAGTAGTTTCTCCTTCCAACCTTGAATCCTTTTCCATATTCTTTCCTTTACATATTCAAACATCTTCGCTTTTGCTTTGCCAACATATGTTGGAAGACCTAAATATTTTGATGCAAGGCCCTCAGTTATAATGTTCAATGTCCTCTTCATTTCTTCCTTTTGCCAAGGCCTCGTATTTTTACTGAATAAAATGGATGACTTGTCCTTGTTTATCATTTGCCCTGAGCAGCTTCCATATATGTTCAAAATGCGTTCAACTTCTTGAGCACTGCTTGCACTAGCCTCCATTAGCAGCAGAGAATCATCTGCAAAAAGTAGGTGACTAACACTAGGAGCTCCTCTGCATATTTTAATTCCTCTAATTAACCCTCTCCTTTCAGCATTGTGCAGCATGGCTGAGAACCCTTCCGCACAAAGTAGAAACAGATATGGGGAAAGTGGATCCCCTTGACGAAGTCCCCTTTGGGGTGTGATTGTTTCGGTTACATCCCCATTCACTTTAATCTTGTATTTGACAGTGGAGATGCACTTCATTATCAAATTCATCCACCCTTCATCGAAACCCAGTCTATGCATCATCTCCTTTAAGAAGGTCCATTCGACACGGTCGTATGCCTTGCTCATGTCTAGTTTTATTGCTGCATAACCTACTGAGCCATTTCTTTTCCTCTGCAAGAAGTGTGTTAGTTCATATGCCAGCAGAGTATTATCAGAAATGAGGCGACCAGGCACGAAGGCACTCTGGTTAGGCGAGATTATAACAGACACATTTTGACATAGTGCATTCGATAATTGATTGTCTCCATGAATCATCTTGTCCACACACAAGGCACTTGCTATCCTCCTTCATATGCCTGTTATGCAAAACATCTCCAGTCGCCAGTGGGGATTAGTAAATCACCATAGAAGTACTTGGATCTTTGAGGTACAAGAACCTTTCCATAATGACGCCCATTGCCTCTCGTCATGTGTATGATCCGAACCTGTTTTGTTCCCTCCAACCATGTTTTTCCGGGTGTTCCCTGTGTTTTTATCCGGTTTTCACGGATAAAAAATGTTCACGTAAATCATATGTTCAAAAAATATTTATCCCAAATTATTAAAACAGTGTGCAAATTATGAAAATGGTCCAAAATTTTAAAAAATATTTATTTAATAAAATGTTTCTGAATTAAAAAGTCAGAAAATTCTTAAAATAATTCTTGAATTAAAAGTGTTCACAACATTTTAAAATGTTCTTGAATTAAAAAATGTTGATTAATTTAAAATGATGTTTATGAATTTTAAAAATAAAAAAAATAAAAAGGAGAAAGAGAAAAAACAAAAAGGGGAAATTAATAAAGAAAACTGGAAAATGAGTAGAAAAGCAACGAAAAGGAAAAAATAAACAGAAACAGAAAAAACGGTAGAGAAAATCATAGAAAAAAAACAATAAAATTCATAGAGCCGAGGCATAAATACCAGTAGAACCATAGTGTTTTCAAAACCAGTCTAAGGACCAAACCATAGAGTTATTGATAATTCAGGTTTTCATCAGGCGGAGTTCAACGTTGGTTCAACTTTTCTGTTACATAATAGATTCCAAATGGGATGATTTTTTTTCATTTGTATGATAAGAAAGCTGAGCTTACTGGCCAACTTTAGGCGCCTTACCGTGTAACCACCAAGTGAACTCAGATCGAGTCCTATGAGAATTTCCTTCCTCTTGCCCCTATTGGGCCAGCCCACCCATGATGGTTCAACCCGTGCTTAGAATATATTTTGACTAAGCTTTTCTATATGGCGTGGAAAAACTTGAAATCTCCAATAGGGGGGATTCCCCCCTTCGACCTCACAATCTTTACATGGCAGAGGGGGAGGAGTTCAGGTATTCTGTATATAGTAGTCTAGGATGGAGGCATATGACTAGACATGCCATCTTGACGAGTCATTGAAGTGTTGTCCAACTTTACTAGCATGCAACAAGTGATGATCGTCGATGTGGTGTTCCTCCATGATGGAGGCGAACAGGGAGCCATATATGTGGCGTTAGCTCTCTTAATAAGTGTGTCGATGTACCAAGGCGAGCCACTACATAACTCTCCCTCCTCTTTTCTCGCCATTAGGTGATGACGAGGGATTTGGAGGAAGATCCTAGCATGGCTCGGGTTCCTGATGTGGTGTATTTCCCGATATGAGTTCCTAGCAAGATTGGTATTCGATCCTAATCTAGCAGAGGGCCTCTAGCTCTTCTTTGATGGTTTATTCCATCATGGCGATGGAGGTGTGATGAAGGAGATACGGAGTGCTGGATGCCGCAAATGAGATTCAAGTGCGTCAACGGCGCTGGTTCTAGAGGAGCTACAATGCCCAAGGTGGCCAATTGTCGTCCCCTCCGACGATCTATTGTATTCACGAGCCAAAAGGCGACCCACTTTATTCTTCCCTGCCATGATGCAGGAGAGGAGGCAATGCTACTCAAGGGTGGAGCTCGTCGTGTGGTGTTGTGCAGGTTTTTGTCGAGCTAAGTGGTTTCGTCCTGGTGACATCGAGATCAATTCTGTTTAGGAGCAGACTAAAACCCAATTGCACATTTTCTCTCTCTTTGGGGTCTTCTATGCAAATTTGAGGGATCAATATGTAATTTTTATTTTTTTCGGGTCCTTACGTAAGGTCCAACGGGACACTCAATCCTGGCCAACATGTCGGCCCACGCATGGCATGGTCCGCAGCGGCCCGTTTATAAACGGGTCATGTCGTGCTGGCACGTATGCCTCACCTCGTGCCCCAGGCATGACACATCTTACATTCTTAAGAAATTGATTCCCATTACTACCTATTCTCTCAACATGCAGTCCGTCCACATCATCATCTAGCCGCCTCACCAAATCCCACTCATGTCACTTCATTTCTTCGTTATCTTTTCTTCTTCACGTTCACGTAGCATCTCTTGTTGTCATTCCCCTGAAAGTTTTTTTACCATTGCATTGCTTTCTTTGTTCTTCATGCCACTATTCAGTATGTATTTCCATTTAATTCCCACCAAGCCCATTTCCAAACGTAATAACAGATCAAAGCTCAACCTCTCTCCATAATAAAGGCATAGTTAAATGTGTCGGCCCGTGGCACATTTATCCCTTATGGGTCGTGTGACCTTTTTGGCCCAATTACTTGGGTCGTCGTCATCTCCCGACTATAGGAAGCAAAGCGGGCGTCGACGACACAATTTCTGGCCAGGTCTCGCTAGGTTCATCAAGAACGACGCAAAGGTCGACTTGATCTGGGCGCTTGGAGCTTCGGCCGGAGCGGTTGGTCGTGTAGGGCGACCTGAAGCGGCTTGAACGGCGCAACGATGCCATGAGGACAGGCGAGGGAGAAGAGAATGAGAGGGGGGAGAGGCAAGAGGAGGGATGACGCTGGGAAGGAGGTATTTCCAGCTTTTTTTTTGAGACAAAGGAGGTATTTCCAGTTTTTTTTTGAGACAAAGGTATTTCCAGCTAAACGTGTCGTGTTGTGCCGACACGTTGGCCTCGCCCTCGCGGAGGAGCACAACCCTAGGGTGCCGGGGGCCAGACACGGCCCGTTTAACCGCATGCCGGGCCAGCCCGCAAAGCACGGGCCGTTGGCCAGGGTCGGGGCCCTTCCACTGTACTCCACCTCCACTCACCCTATGGCCGAACTGCCCCGCCGCGCCGCCTCGGTAAAACATATCGACGACTCCGACCTCCACCTCCACCGCAACCTCAACCCCCCTTCCTCCGACCTCCATCCTCCGCCCCTGCACCACTCCCCATCAGCGATCCTCCCACCGGCGCATCCCCGGGCCCGCCTCCGCCTCCGCCGTCCGGGACGCGATGCGCCTCCGCTCCCCACTATCATCCGTCCCCGCGATTCGCGCGGACGGCCAGGCTGCGGATGCCGACTTCCTGCTTGACTCGTGGCTCGGGGCGCTGCGGGACCTCGGTGAGCTGCAACTGATAGGAACTTTTCTGTCAAAGGTTTTGCATTTCGTATTCTGAAAGAGATTCGATTCGGAACTCCAAGTTCAGTATGGAAAAGGGCGGGTAGCATTTTCAAATGCCAGTTCGAGTGCTATTGCTGTGATTAGCATCTGAGGAGGTTTGGACTTTGGAACGCAGGTGGAGACCGCGGGTGGCAGCAGCCAGGCATTGGGAAGATCCGTGTCGACCGGGCATTAGATCGAGCATGTCGGGTGCGTGTACTCTCCTGTCTTCTCCTTGTTTATTGTCTTTCTCCGAATATCATTTTGCCACTGCTGGTCATATCTGTGTGGTGGATTGAATCGTTCGAGGGCTCTCTGTTGTGATCAGGTCGTTGGGGTGGTGACGTTGTGCACACCAAATGGATACGGCGATCTCATGCTGAATCTGAAGGTGACCATGAGCATCACAGCCTAATGTTATTTATGTTTGGTTTCTTGGAATTCTGTTGCATCGACATTGAGTTTCGCTGATTACCATGTGAAATGTCAGTTTTTTCTTTGCATTGAGTTCATTTGGATACTGGAAAAAATTCCAATCCATGGTTAGTGATAGATTTCTCTTTTGTTGTAACTGCAGAATTTATTCTATGCATAAAGATTAACCAGAAAATTAGTCCTTATTGTCACGACATTTGGGAGAACCATTGTTTTCTCCTAAATATTTTGAAGGAGAAGCTAATGTTTGCTTGCCAGATAGATTATATTTCAATACTTACATCATGTCTTGAGAGTTGTAACTTTGATCTGAATGAGTTTCCAACAACTTAGTTTAGCCCGGAGAAGATTGATTAGAAGATAATAATTACATGTCTTTTAATTCTTAGTAGCAATTGACAACGAGTTGTTCTTGATAGGACCCATCTGGTACTATTGATGCATCAGTTCACAAGAAAGTTCTATCAAATGAAAACCTTTCAAAGGGTTTATCAGTTGGGTCTGTCATTGTTCTCAAACAGGTAAGGGTATATAACTTGTGAACAAAATGTTACTTCTGTTATTAAATTACTCTATTGTGCTGGCACGAAATTGGCTTCGCTGTTGATTCTATTGTCGATTTCAGGTGGCTGTTCTTCGCCCTTCTAGCACAGTGTGCTATCTGAATGTTACCCAGAAAAACGTTGAAAAGGTATTGTTCACACACTTGCATGTTACACTTTTATAGGTGCTGACGTAGGCAAATTACGCGTTATCTTACTACAAATTCCTTAAGTTTTTCTATAAAGTAATGTATTATAATACAAAGCAATTAGTTTACTACATACTCAAAGTCAATGTTGCTCACGAGGTGCGTATAGGTGTGACCGTGTGTCTGCGGGTTGGGTTTAATAAGGTGGACTACTTTGAGCTCATGTTAGCGTAGCTATATATACTAATATATATATACTGTTTCTAATGAAAAGTGGGATCTCTTAGCTTGTTTTTGATACCCTTCCACACTTAAAGTTTCATTAGTTATTATACACTTGGACTATCATGATAATTCATGGATGGACCCTCCTGGTGGAGGTGTCTGACAAAATTATGTCATTTTTATGACTGAATTTATATTGTACAGACTTGAAGGAACAAAATATAAGATGCATTATAAGTAAGAATCTGTCCCATAAAAATCTAGCTGTGACTAATAAAGCAGATTAGAGAAAACTATTGAAGCTTACTTGCACTTAGATGCGCATGTTTTTATGTAATTGTTCAGACTTAAATTAAGGATGTGTGTCATAGATTGGAGTTCTTTTTTTGAAACATGGCAAAAGGGATTACCTGGTTATATTAATGGAGAAGATAGAGCGGAGTTCTAGTTATACGCACTGGTACTTGTTTTGTCATTACAGTTACCTGAAATTAATTGCTTCTCAAGTCTCAGGACCTGAAAACTGTGCAATCATCTTTTGCCATCACTTTCGAGATGATATCTCCTCAGTTTGGGATTGCCGTTATGTTTTATGTCGTAACTGTTGCATCACAGAAGTTCATCTTAGGTCATGAACTCATAATGATGGTCACATTTCCAGGTGCTGCAAAATGACAGTGACTCCCCATGTAAGCAAGCAGTTCCATCAAGTAATTCTGGAAGGCAAAGCCAACAGCCTGGTGACTTACAAATCTCTCTCTTTATTCATTCCCCAAATAAAATTTGATGGTGATTTGGCGTGCTTTCCATAGTGAAATGCAAAGTAACAATGAGTTTTGCAGGCCAAGGAGATAACATGGAAAAGGAAGCTGGAGCGGAAACAACTGATGGAATGACAGCGATCTTCAGTAAGCTCTCGAGGACCAAGGATGGTCGGATAGCCGACTTACTTTGTGATAATGGTGGTGCAGCAAAAGCTGTTAATGGTAGTATTCTGAGAATGGACAAAGATACTCATGGTGTACAAAATCATCATGAGAAACGGATGGATCAAATGGATTCAAGTTCTCAAATAAATAATTTGCCAGGCTTCAACTCCAGTCAGCAGCTGCAGAAAATCATTTCTAGCATGAATCCAGCTAATTGCCAGCTGAAACAAGGAGGAGGCGTACCCAAGTATGGAACAAGCAGTGAAGCTAAAAGTTCCGCTGACGATATAATGAGAAAACTCTCAGGTGGTGAAATGATGGTTCCCAGTAGCAAGGAGATAACTGTTGCTGGGGGTTCTCGTCGTAATTGTGGAACACATGGTGAAAGCAACAATAGGGATGAGCATCAGCAGAAAAACCCGAATGCAGATACAAGATGCACACAGCCGATTCTAGGTGGAAGCTCAGTTATGGCTGGAAGCAGAGATTGTTCGCAAGCTTCCTGTACTGGAAATCCTAGGCAACTCTCTGGCGATGAATCGATGCAGGCTCGTAGTAAAAAACTTAAGAGTGATGCAATGCTTTCTGATGGCAATGGTCTGGATGACATAGCAGATGATTTCCTCGGTGGTCACAGTTTGATCAGGAAGCCCAAGCATCAGCAAAAAGACATCACCCATGGCGCAAGTGCGGGTACCCTCGAGCCAACTCAAGAAAATTGCTCTATGTCTGCCACCGGCGGAACATTACCTTCCAGTCATAAGATGGTTTCAGTGGCTTCTGTACCAGAATGGACTGATGAGCAGCTTTCTCAACTCTTTGATGACTACTGATACCGGAGTGCATACTTCGTCTAGTAGTTGCCTAGCTTATATTTTTCTTTTGGGGTAGTTTGATGTTGTCCCAAGGGTGCGACAAAGTCAGGCATGTTAGTTGTATATATAGTCTAGAAGATGGTTAACACCTCAAGGTTGTGACTCACGTGTTCTCAGTGATGTGCCTCGATGACCAAATAGAGACAGTTTATAGACCAGTGGATGGATTATATCGTAATCTTGTGCAGTTCCTCTGTAAGATGAAAGTTGAAGGATGTTATTGTTACATGTTGCTCCTAAAATGAAATTATTGGTAGTGGACCGTCTTTATGCAGGCCAAACCGAAGGGCTAAGCGGCGCTGAAAGCACTCCTCGGGCTTCCTACTCCCTCCGTCCGAAAATAGTTGTCATCAAAATGGATAAAAAGATATGTATCTAGAACTAAAATGCATCTAGATACATCCCCTTCTATCCATTTTGATGACAAGTATTTCCGGACGGAGGGAGTACAAATCTTGGAGTGGAAAGCGCAGGGTTTCAGAGATCAGGGTTAAAGCGTCGTAACTTAGAAGAAAAAAAAGAAAAAGAAGTGATCACCAAGAATTCCAGCCGTTTTGTTTCCCATTCTCTGATCCAGTTTCAGCGCTGTACACCGGACAGGCCCGACACATTCAGTCCACATCTTTCGTGTGCAACCTCACGGACTTGCAACAAGCAAAGTATCCGCTTACAACATCACCCAGTTCAGTTTTTTTATATTATTTGCGGGAAACTGTCGATCTATTCATCTTTAATTATGACACTACAACGAACACCATAAATAATAAATTACATCTAGATTCATAGACCACCGGTGACTACAAGCACTGAAGCGAGCCGAAGATGTGCCGCCTTCATCGCCCCTCTCTCGCGGGAGCTAGGCGCAACTTGTTAGTCAGGAATTTATCATGCTAAGGCTCTATAGAACCAATGCACCAGAATAGTAACTGCCGCTGATGAAGAGAAGCTTAGATCAGAAGGATCCAACCCGTAGACACAAGAATAAACACGAATAAAGACCGGATCTGAGTGGATCCACCAAAGACCCAGTTGAGTTAAGATCAGAGATTGTTCTCTCTAGACCTCGTCCGCAATTCAACCGTCCACGCAAGGAAATAATATACAAAATGTGTCCATGTGAAAGTCGTCACAACTTAATAATAATAATAATAATAATAATAATAATAATAATAATAATAATAATAATAATAATAATAATAATAATAATAATAATAATAATAATAATAATAATAGGAGCAACGCCACTAACAATGAGTACAACTTAAAAATACAACGATCAATTCAATAGGGCAGCATAATATTCTGAGAAGAAAGGCAGAATGTGCCACATTGCTGTATTTGCGTATAGAAAAAGGCAGAATGTGAGGCCACATTGCAACAACTGTGTAGTATCTACCACTTCCATTCCATAATATAAGACGTTTTTGGTCCAGTCCCTGAGCTCCCGCGACTAGGGTTCCTCCCCCCGTCCCCCGCCGCCGCCGCCGGCTGCCCCCCCTCCCGCCGCCGTCGGCCGCCGGCTGCGCGCGCCCCGCCTCCCTCTCCTCCTCCCCCTTCCCCTCCCCCGTGTTCCCGTCTGCCCGCTCCCCTCCTTTCGCGTGCGACGGGCGGGCCCCTGCCGCTCCTCGCCTCTGGCCCCCCTCCCCGTCCATCTCCCTTCCCGCGCCGCCGGTTGGGTTCGCCGGGCCTTGCCCGCGCGGCGCTGGCAGCGGCGGGCCGTCCCTTCCCCGCTCGCTCATGGGGGGCGCGGGGGCCTCCCGATGGCGGCGGTGCAGCTCGGCCGGCTGCGGGTCTCCGGCGAGCTTCGTGGTCCTTGGTGCGGCGGCGCAGCCGTTGGTCGCGGGGCGGCGTGGCGGTGCTGGTGGCCAGCGACGCCCGCGTGGCCCAGATCTGGGCCCTTTCGGGCTCCATCTGGGCTAGGACGGGCCGGCGTCTCGGTGCGCGGCGACGCTTCTCCCTGGTTGGTGGCGAAGAGGCGGTGATCTGCAGGTGGTGGCGGCTCCGTCGGCCTGCGAGCTGCAGCGTGAAGGCAAGGGCTGTTCGGACCCTTTTGGGTCCGGTCGGGCCTCGGCGCCCGACAGGCCCCTTGCATGTGCGTCCGATCGGCTCCGCGGTGGCGGTGGTGGTTGTCCCCTCACGTCGGCGATGTTGCGGATGCCCCCGAGGCCACTATCTCTTCTCCCGTCCTCTAGGTCTCGTGTCGGTGACCTCAGGGAGACGACGAAGTTGATTCAGTGACCGTGGTGGCACATGTTGGTGGGCGGCGGGATGGGCGGTGCACTATGATTCATCTGGGGTGGTGGTGGGGGTTTGGGTTGGGAGAAATCTCTGGCAGCTCGTCTGGATCTAATGCGATGACGCCTGTGGGTGCCGTCGGACCTTCCTGAAGGGCGTCGGGTACACCCCTCCCCCACTCCCCCCCGCATACCGAGGGAAAACCTAGGACTAGTCCGGGCAACGACGGCGTCGCCGTCGCCTCCTTCTTGAAGGTGTTCCTTGGTACGCGGCGATTCAGAGTGCTGGGAACGTGGTGGTACTTCTCCGGAGGGTGCATCGGTCGCCGGTCATCTTCGTTCGTTGATCTGCCGTTGTTGGCATTTGTTTCTCTTTCTTTCTTCTCTGTTTTTCTTTGGGCTTGTTTGTGCTGCGGCCCAGCACCTATCGTTGGATGTATCAGTGGTTGCTTTGTAATACAAAGGGGGGGGGGGAACACTTTTTCTTAATATAAGACATTTTTGCAATCTATGTTAGCTTGCAAAAACATCATATATTATGGGACGGATGGAGTAGTCCTGTAGAACATACTCCTAAAGATATTTACACGAGCATATAGATACGGGAAAATGAACAGACAGTTTCACAGTATTAGATAACTAGTCCATCAAGGCCCCAACTGCCTAATATCATGAAATGAGTACAAGTATATCAAATCACCAATAAGCCACCACAAAATCTAGGTGGGAGAATATATCCAAATTTTTAGTTAAGCACTCAGTACAAGCTAAACCATGCTATTAGCTGGGCATAAGCAGCAAGAATAATCAAACTTTAAAACAATGGGCTAAAAATCGAAGGCTTAAATGACAAGTCACAAGACTTACTGGATTTGAGTAAAATTCTGATATAAAGGAGTTTTGTTAGGAGGGAGTACTAAATATTATGTGTACTAGAGGAGTCTTGTTAGAAGCACAGATGCATACATAGAATTCCATTTTACTCTAAATTTATGATAATCACTTCAAGGATTCTTTGATAGCTATTCCTCCAAGGCATGAACTGAAGGAAATATGCCCTAGAGGAAATAATAAAATTATTATTTATTTCCTTATATCATGATAAATGTTTATTATTCATGCTAAAATTGTATTAACTGGAAACATAATACATGTGTGAATGCATAAACAAACATAGTGTCACTAGTATGCCTCTACTTGACTAGCTCGTTTATCAAAGATGATTATGTTTCCTAGCCATGGACAAATGAGTTGTCATTTAATTAACGGGATCACATCATTAGGAGAATGATGTGATTGGCATGACCCATTCCGTTAACTTAGCACTTGATCGTTTAGTATGTTGCTATTGCTTTCTTCATGACTTATACATGTTCCTACGACTATGAGATTATGCAACTCCCGTTTACCGGAGGAACACTTTGTGTGCTACCAAACGTCACAACGTAACTGGGTGATTATAAAGGAGCTCTACAGGTGTCTCCGAAGGTACATGTTGGGTTGGCGTATTTCGAGATTAGGATTTGTCACTCCGATCGTCGGAGAGGTATCTCTGAGCCCTCTCGGTAATGCACATCACTATAAGCCTTGCAAGCAATGTGGCCAATGAGTTGGTTACGGAATGATGCATTATGTAACGAGTAATGAGACTTGCCGGTAACGAGATTGAACTAGGTATTGGATACCGACGATCAAATCTCGGGCAAGTAACATACCGATGACAAAGGGAACAACGTATGTTGTTATGCGGTTTGACCGATAAAGATCTTCGTAGAATATGTGGGAGCCAATATGAGCATCCAGGTTCCGCTATTGGTTATTGACCGGAAACGTGTCTCGGTCATGTCTACATAGTTCTCGAACCCGTAGGGTCCGCACGCTTAAGGTTTCGATGACAGTTATATTATGAGTTTATGAGTTTTGATGTACCGAAGGAGTTCGGAGTCCCGGATGAGATTGGGGACATGACGAGGAGTCTCGAAATGGTCGAGACGTAAAGATCGATATATTGGACGACTATATTCGGACATCGGAAAGGTTCTGAGTGATTCGGGTATTTTTCGGAGTACCAGAGAGTTACGGGAATACGTCCTAGGCCTTATTGGGCCATAAGGGAAAGAAGGAAAAGGGCCTCAAGGGTGGCCGCACCCCTCCCCTTGGTCTGATCCGAATTGGACTAGGGAAGGGGGGCGCTCCCTTCCTTCTCCTTTTCCCTTCCTCTTTTCCTATTCCATATGAGAGGTGGAATCCTACTAGGACTAGGGAGTCCTAGTAGGACTCCACACTTGGTGTGCCCCTGCCTAGGGCCGGCCTCCTCCTCCCTTGCTCCTTTATATACGGGGGCAGGGGGCACCCCATAGACACACAAGTTGATCTTCGTGATCGTTCCTTAGCCGTGTGCAGTGCCCCCCTCCACCATATTTCACCTCGGTCATATCGTTGCAGTGCTTAGGCGAAGCCCTGCGTCGGTAAAACATCATCATCGTCACCACGCCGTCGTGCTGACGGAACTCATCCCCGACATCCTGCTGGATCGGAGTCCGGGGATCGTCACCGAGCTGAACGTGTGCTGAACTCGGAGGTGTCGTACGTTCGGTGCTTGGATCGGTCGGATCATGAAGACGTACGACTACATCAACCGCGTTATCATAACGCTTCCGCTTACGGTCTACGAGGGTACGTGGACAACACTCTCCCCTCTCGTTGCTATGCATCACCATGATC